GGGTCATTGAACTTTGTTCTAATTTTGTTTTTAATAACTTAACATATCAGGCAAGCTTAGCAGAAACAAACAATTTATCTTTAGAGACGGTTTGTATTTGAAACTTTATGTTGTGAGTGAAGCTATGTACTACTAGTGTGTATCACTCATAATATAACCATTATAATACTCATTTCGATCTAAAAACTAGATTCGTTTTTTTATTATGACGTTTTAAAATTGTTCTTGTTATAAAATCTTTCTGGCTATACCATTAGTATCTGGCTGATGTCGGTATAATTTTTTTCGATACCGTTGGCTAAATTTAATTTGGCGTTACGCACTAAAACCCGTGATAATGCTGAACTGAAACAGCAGGCACAACCTGACCGTCAAGTTGCTTTGACGACCATTCATAGAATCTTGAACAAGCAAAGCATCGGGCTACTTTTAGCCCTTAAAATAAAAGCCTTTATCTGAAAGTCTCAAATGAGCACAGTAGTCAAGTATCTCCAACCAAAATGACGGCGTAATTACTAAACGACTTAAGAAAAGGATTTTTTTTAAAAGAAAGAATTTGTTTTTTTTTATAGGGAGATACTGGCTGGCACTTATGATGTTCATGATCATCTATCAGTGCATAACACAAAATTCACTATAATTAATGAAAGGAAAAAAATGGAATAACAAAAAAAAAAAAGAGTAAAGAATATAATGTAAGAATGACAAACAGAAACTTTTTCATAAAAACATTAGTAGTCAGGATAATCTCGCTCGTCACAGAGTAAATCCATAGATTTATAATACTACTACATATTTTTGGCAAGGCATGTTGATTCTACTGCGCAATAGAATGTAAAGGAGAGCAACTGTACTATTTTATGTAGATATGCCGATTATCCACGAAAACACTAGTAAATTATCCTTATTTGATTTCATCTGTTGGGTAGGTCTATGCCTCAGCAGTGATGATGCTGCAAATGCTTACTGGTAGATTTTTAATTAAAATTAGCTCACGACTCCTGTATACAGTAAAGCAGGCCAGTGCGCAAACAATACCCTCAGACCACGTAGGCGAAGCCGTGGGACACAGCTAGTATTATGAAATTTTCTCGTTTTTTTTTATTACGTGTATTAGAATGTTATTTTCATCTCATAACACTGCTCTTCGCAAAATAATGGTTTTACTACCGACTGCGATTATTTCTCTTGCACAGTGTATATTAGAACATAACGGAAACTTTTGATTTTGGATATTAAATAAAATGTCATTTCGTTTGATGGAGAAGAGGAAACATACTAATCGTGCCTCTTATGTGGATGGACATGTTAATCTCCTATTGCTGTCAATCAATATGTCAACACTGAAATGCTACATTAGCAAAATAGCATTATTCATTGATGCATTACGTTCGAACATAACGACGGCACAAAAGTTTTTAACAAAAAATCAAATCTCAACAATGAATTTGAAGCCTTATTTTAACGCCTTTTAAGTTCAAAATGTATTGCAGAAATTTTACCATTAGTGGTGCTACTGTATATTCTATATGCTAATGTTTTACTTAAAAAGAAACGATAACATTGTGCTCTGCTCGTATATCTTGAAAAATTATAGCTGAATATAAATTTGGAAGTTCGAGTCCTAAATATATCTAAATATTGCATTATTTGTGGGCATTTAAAACTATGTGCCATCGAGTTTAATAAAAAAAGACAAAGACAAAATATATATTTTGTTACATAATAACGCTTATTATATAATAACATTATACATATTATCTCAATTTAAAATGACATATATCAAAATAAAGAGAAAATGATGGGTCAAAATACCTACTTTTAGACTGCAGTGTGATCTTAAATTAATATATTTTAATTATCGATTACAATATATAATCTAAGATTTTAATATTTACAAACGGAACACGGGCGGGCAGATAGGTTTTATAGCTGAGCAATTGCAAAGTTAATTAATTGAACAAATTTTTCAGGTGTAAATCATAATTATAATAGGCGCATTGAAATTGATTTTTAAAAGTATATTTTAATTTTAAATTATATCTTAAACAGCTGTTGTCATCATGATAAAGTAATAAAGGGAGAGTAACCACCAGTAAACCTTTACTGATGATTACTATCCATTTATTTATAATAACGTTTTGCTTATACTGAAATCTATAATTCATAGATTTCCTTTTTCCTTTTCAAATTCGAGATAGAATATTTCTATCTTGACATAATTTTGAAAACTGCTTAACGGAATTTGGCGATGAAGTCTTGTATAAGTCATGTTTCGGAATATATGTAATTAAGTGAATATGAGTATATTCACTTAATTACATATAATTACATACAAGTAAGTTCTTATACGAGTGTATAAGAACTTACTTGTCTCCACAGCGATGAATTTGAAGTTTTACTTACGGTTACACTTATCAAACTAAAATTTGTAATACACGTCAATTTATTAGTGCTAAAAACTTGCAAGCAAACATAAGTTAAGTAAAATATGTACCGGGAGACACGGAATATTTATATATGTATGGAATGGATAACACATACTTCATAGAAACCAGGATCTTACAACCGTATGAACAGTTATCGCTGTTATGTCGTAGAACATTTAATGAAGAGAAACCAATTACTTCCTTATACCGAATGTAATACGTTGTGCAAGATAACAAATTTCTGGGAACTGCTTGAAAGCAGATAGAAGCTGAAAGATAAGATGTTTGTTTTGTAAATTTCTTTATAATGGTTTGACATTAAAGTTCTTAATTCGGAGTAATTTCAGGAACTTTAACTTTATAAATATATGAAATGTTAATATATAATACTTTGAAAAATAATATATGTCTTATATACAAAGCAATACCTCCATTTAATTATTTTATTAATTGTGTTTTAAATCAATATTTAATGGTTCAATAATTTAATTGGCTTCAGTTAACCTTAATATTAATTATTCTATTTTAATTGCACATTTATCATAAAGATTGAGATCGAACTTGGAAAATATATTTAAGGCATAAAAATGACTTACGACAACCTTTAGGGTGTACTTAATGATCAAGCTCAAATTCTTTTAGGATATTCTTAACGTTTATAAATGCGTCATAAATAATAGGGGATAAAGTATGAAATTGCCGATTTATACTAAGGTAACTTTAAACCATGTCGCTAATTTCTGGGTAGTTTGACTAGGATCGGCTTCAGCCATTTCTCTTAATTCATCGTTATTCACCTGTATCGGCGAACTTCCTCGTGACTCGTTCTTCAAGTCGAATTTTACATCACTAAAGCGTTTAAACCAAAATAGCACGGTGCGTTAATTAGCAGACCCCTCTCCAAACTCAACAGTGCCATTTTTCTAGGTTAGATGGATTAAAATAATAAAAGCAAGCTATATATATTTATGTATTAGATTTATTAAGAATAAAATGGGCACTTTACTTTCACAATTTTAAATATTTAAATAATCTCCAGAAAATAGTATTTTAAATCAAACATAAACTGTATAGTAAGTAATACTTACAAAACCAATATCTATTAACAGCATAGATCATGTACTGGCTTAGTCTATGCATTCAGTACGACGCTCCAACAACGAATGACGCACTGCCGGTACAAAGCATGCTTTAAATACTTGAGGGTTGGCGTAAACAACAAGATGGCGTCCGTCCGGCGTTATAGTTATACAACTTTTGAAGCTAATAATTACAATTATTATTGAATAATAATTAAAAGTGTATTTTCAAATAAAAATAACAATAAATAAGTGTAGCAGCTAACAATTGATGTTGCGGGCTGTTTCTGCCGCGTTATTTTCGCGTCGGAACCCGTATTCCAAAATCACTCAAATTTTTGCAGTATCCATCTTTCTTGTCTAAGTTGAATAACAAAAACAATTGAAAGTCGATATTCATCATCAAGAAGAATGAATAAAAGAAGAACATCATATAAACCATGTGAAAAAAGTTTCTTTCGAAAACTTCAGTCCATAAAGATTCTATGTCAATTCAAGGAACCTATTACAATAAAGCGACAATTTAATACTTTAACCCCTAATATAACATTATTATTATCATTTTACTCATAGTAATTAAACATTGAATACCTTTACTCTCTATGAAATAGTCATTTCTTTATATAGGTTCTTTGTGTATTTCTATCTACAATTCTATGGTATGATATTCTCAATAACAATATTACAAAGCGAGGACTCGCAAATATTATTTGCGTTTTAATCATTAAAGCCGCAAGCTTTACAGCACATAATCATGTAACAATTGTTCCAGAAATACTCATTAATGCCTCATCAATGGGATTCTAAAACTTTTCACTGGTTATGTAAACACAGCCTACTAGATATTTAAAAGTAGTGAATATTTCTGATATTACTCATTAATGAGAATTTCTAGAACAATACCGGGAGGGAGAGGATCCTAATAAAGATCAACGCTTGTCTGATGTCATTCATTGTCATTATAAAATATTTTCATAATAAATTAGTACATTGATCGCATGTGAGGAAAGCCATGACACTGTTAAAGTGTTTTCAGCTTTAGCGCTATTCAGTTCTAGTCTACTTACCTGATCTTTATATTTTACAACTTTTACCTGACGTCATATTTGTTTGCTTAAAAATAAAAAGAAAATGAATTTGGACTTCTATGTTTTCAACCAACTCATTAAAAATGCATTAAAAAGACACTACTATACTTAATGATAAAATCGAAGCTGAATTTGATAATTTGTTTTATAAAGTATTCATTTTCAATAGCAGAATCAAAATTATCATGCAATCAAAGTGGTATTTAATTTGCAAACCGATACCATGCAAAATTATAAACCAATTTACAATATCGCTTATTAAAAAAGTAACAAATTCTCAGTTTCATTTTGAATTACGCGATTGATTTTTATTTCGTTTATTTTAAGTGTCCATTTCTAGAAAACTTTAGAATGATTTACCAAAAACAAACTACTAAGCTAGGTAACCAAATGGATCCATCGAAGGTTGGAATTTCGGAACATCTGAAGTACAGAAAGTAATAATATCAATCAATCGCAGTTAATTTTTATAATTATATAACTTACCGAGTTCTACCTATAAAATTTTATAATAAAAGTCATGAGGTAAACGTTCTAAATTCAATGAAATGTTATTACTTCAGTTTGACAGTCGTTAGCCTCTGAAATAATATTATTTTGTTCAAAGGTCTTTGTTCAAAGTTGTATTATAAGAACTGTAATAAACATATAAAAAAGAGTTACTTATCTAGCTTCACCTTAATAGCGTTGTACTTTAAAAAGATATCTTACCTGTCACTATGTCTTGACACTTTTTTCTTCGGCCATAAATGGAATGCCCCGTATATCACTGGATTGACTAGACTATTTGACATCCCGAAGAAAAATATTCCAGTCAACAACTCTTCGCTCAACTGAAAAAGATATAGAAACAGTTCTTTACCACTATATACATCTATAAGTATATCAATGACATATAATTAAAATTCAATACCTCATAATATAACTTTAATATTTTTTTGTAGGAAATTTCAGTATACTCTTGTGAGTGTATTGTCTGCGAGTTAAGGTAAATAGGGGCGTGTACATGGGCTTTTTAATATATATATATATATATGTATATATATAAAGTAATGTCCATATGATAGTTAAAATAAAAAAATGAATTTTAAAAATTTCTCGCGAAAACGCGATATTCTATCGTTATGACGTCACGCCCCTTTAGAACTTATATCGTTTTATGTATGCATAAATTTTAATTCTCTAAGTTCTGATATGAATAGTAGTAGTACTTCATTATGTACTTAATAGTACTTTAGCTGCTGAGACACGAAGCGGTCAATAAGAAAAGTGAATTATTAACGGTCGGCAAAACCTGAACAGTCGCTAGATACCCTACCAGTTTAAGACAATGTTGTATTTTAATACTTTAGCTTCTGTTATATCGCAGTTCTGAGGGACCCCGGATATTACTGAAGCAAAGCTATGATCCATTTTGTTGATTTTATGAACTAAAAGTTCTGCCAAAATTTGTAAACAGCATACTAGTTGGAAGCCCGTCGAGAGGAAAGTATTAACTACATATTTCAGTATAAAATAATAATTTGTCGGGTTTATTACAAATATTATATTTCTCATAACTAACGTTGAAGTAATATTTTACTACAGGGAATTGAAGTGGCACGTGTTCTGCGCAGCGTTGCATTTGATATGAAAAAAATATGGTTTCCTTAACTTTAAATGGAAAATATTTAGTATTTCATATCCTTAGGTGAACGTTAGCAGTGTTTTCTTCAAATAGTTTAATTTTAAAAGCTGCCTGTTTTCAAATTATTTTAATGAAAAGAAACGTATAAAATGAGTAACGAACGTCGAAAAAGATGTAGGGACCGTGCTTTAATATACATACAAAAACGGTAAAAACTCTTTTTGCTTTGGGATGAATTGAAAATTTCCCAAAACATATCTTGTGATGAGTCATATAAATGGGCCTATTAGGAGAAAATTTGTATTGCTTGTAACAAGGTTATATATTTATGTAAGGTAGCAACTTGGAGCTGGAACTAACAGCACGGAGAAGCACGAGATAACAAATTCTTGATCACCCATCCTATAAGTGGCCTTAGAGAAAGTTTCTTAACTTCAGTGTTGCGCGCATTAACCTCTGCGCAATCATGTTTCTCAAATCAAATTGATAAATAGCAAAAGTAATATATGTCTTCAAAATGTATTTTTATATTAAGAAACGAGAAAGACGTATAACGTAAATTAAACCAGAACATTTATTTTTACTTATGAAAGCCATTAATCAATCTCGATGCAAAATATACCGCTTCGGGCCGCTTTCTTATCGCTTTCATTAAAACTGAAATGTTTTTATTAAATCTCAAAATAAAAGGTTTAAAGATACGGTGAAAAGGAGTCGTAACAATGAGCTAGATAGCGACAAATGATGGTGTCTTGTTCAAAATAGAACACCATATTAAGTTATGTCTACACGAGAGCGCTTTCAATTCCATCATACAATTCAATTTACATTTTGATTTTCTGATTGTCTTGCGTTAAGACGCATACAGCTAAGCGGCTATGCAACTTGTCACCTTAAAAGATCTTGATTAGTTATGTCATTATGTACACGTAACATGACAAACTCGAGACAAACTTGATCTACATCGAACGTCACTTATCGTGCGTCGAGAATGAGACATCGTAAGGCGCATCCGAGAAAAGGGACATTTGGATATAAACAAAACCTTCTCGAGTTGTCATTATCAGTAAAAAATAAAACACATGTAATGTTGAACACGGATTCAACGGTGATGGATCAACGTGCCTTGGTTGCATGCTCTGTATTAGAGCTGATAAAACTGATTTCGAATAATTTTGTACATATTACAGAAATAACTACATTGTCTAAATTATCTTGTCGATCATCACCATTAATTTTTCGTAATATAATGAAGTTTGACTTTTATTGCAAGACCATTATATCAACATGCGGCTTGAATGAGACGCATGACACACCTACGCTTTTGTCTGGCAAAACTACTACTTATCGTATCTCTTGAAATCCCACACATATTCTCTCTTACGTCATCCTTCATTCGGTTGCAAAACTCATTCACAAATGACGTACTCAACCAATTGGCCTGTAGCGTATGAATACGTAATCCGTGGTATATATAATGATGTGTATCCATTGCACATATTATTTTGTTTTATTTTCATCTTTAAATAAATTATCCACATCAATATTATGGATGCTCACGGAAACCTAAGGCAATAATTTTGTTTTTGTTATTATATAATAATATATATTTTTATATTGTTTGTTTATTTGTAACTTCCACATGGTGAATTCATTGAAATGTCCCGTGTGCTTTGAAAACTAGGAACTTATTTTCCAAAGACATTTTCAAATTACAAACTAAATAAAAAGAAATGCATTTTTTTATGATAAAAACAAAAAAAAAAACTTATTAAAAGCAAAGCGTAGATGGTTTGAATCGGAATTCATAAAATTTTATTATTTTAGTATCGATACCTCGTGTTCCTAATTTTATATGACAGCCATTTGTCCCTCGCATTACGTTTTTACTTAGAAAACAAATTTCTAAAGCTTGTAATACCATTCCCTCAATTATAAAGGAAATACCCCTATAACTCATCTAACAGAAAATTTTGAGTGAGGTTTTCTATTAATCTATTGGTAATTCAACAAGTGGACGCTATTATTCTCTCACATATAGAGATGATAATGTCACAATCAGTCTTCTAAACTTTCAGTCTTCGAATCGAATGACAATTATGTTCTAACTTTATTAAGTGAAATTATTTAATATTAAAAGCATTTGTGGATAAAACAGTGAATTTATACTTTAAATATTTTCTTTGTTATTCGATTACAGATACTCTACTGTATTCTATTTAATCTACTGTAAATTGCTATTCAGTTATTTTAAAGCAAAACACACATTACTGTAAATTTTAATGGTAATGTTAAATTGAAATTAGCCCTGCACGGGAATTGATATAAGGCTGACCCTTTTATACTAAAAGGTAGATATCTCTGTCGCGGTGTGAAGTTTTATTCCCTCAGGATATTCTGAAAAGAGGATATTCTAAACCTAAAAGGCTATATGTCCAATTTAAAACCCGCTTTCTAGCCTACTTGCTAAAACATATGCCGTGTTAATATATATAGTCTACATTAAGACTCCCTCGACATTATTTCTCTCATCTATTATAGAAGAACATTTAGATTCTGTTTTTATTTGTAATGTTTTATAATTATTTATACTGTTATTATGCAGAGAAAATATTTGTGTCTGCATTAAATAGGCTGGACATAACTATATTGGACAGATTTTAAAAATTCTTCTTTCACCTACGGGAAGCTACATCATACGCGGTGACATAGGCTATAATTTACGCCTCGGAAATCATAGGAACAGTCAGTATCTTCATCATAAATATATCAACGATTGCACATACATCTGTGACCAATGTTGGAGATATTTTTTTACGAAATGCGAAAGTTTCTAAACGTCCGTATCGCAGACCGAGAAAAATAATGAGCTGCTATAAACTAATAATCACTATTAAAGTTAATCAGCAATTCAAAATATTATTCTAACTATTAACATATTGAAATATTCTACTGAAACGGTTAATTTACTTAAACATCTATATTATCCTTTCTGGACACTATTCACTTAAATAATTTGAACGCCATTTATAATCAAATAACTCTCTTAAATCTATTAACTGTTTGAAAGTGTAATAAAATGGTTTACTAATTAAAATGGTTCCAAATAAATTTCGTTTATTTGTACTCTAGTACAGCTGTGATTAGCCTATCAGGCATACAAATTAAAATGTTAAAAAATATATCGACTCAACCTTCATAGTAAAAAAATACAAAATACTCTATTAATAAATAAAACAATTATGAATAATAGAATGACAAATGAGGTACGAGTAAAAATTTGTTGTATTAAACTTTTTAAATCATTGTAACGAGATCTTGTGTGATAATAATATTAATATAATTCGGATTCGATGCAAACATCACATTGGCTGTTAGATAAACAGAAAAAATAAACCTTTGAACTTCTATTTTATAGGGTTAGTATGAAAAACCTGTCCGATGCGTAGATACGTTATTGGCAAATAGTTGAAAATAATAACAATGAGTTTCAAAATTCAGTAGCATAATTACGTTAATGGTTTGTAATTGTCATCTTTCATATTCTGTTTAGGTGTGTAATTGAAATAATTATATAATAACAAATGAGGTACGAGTAATGTTATACAATTGTTAGGTGTTGGTTGGGTTCTCGAACGGGTCAATGTAGAAAATGAAATATTTCATATTGACCCAGCTCTGGGTGTTATGGGATCTGAGAACAATGTGTAAAATTGGCAAATAATTGTTTTAAATATTATTAATACTTACATTTTCATCTGGATTCAAGAACATAAATATGACCATCATTACATAGTATGGAGTCCACCACACTATGAAGGCGGCGACTATGACAACTGACATCCTCAAGGATTTCATTTTGGCTCTGTCTATAAGTTTTCTTCTATTTATATCTGGCGTTAAATAATTTGGTTGCCTTCTCACTTCTGGTTGGAAGACTTTTTCGCTTTCTGTAACAAGAAATAGTTTGATATTTGAATTTTTATCCTACGACATTTTGGCGCCGTTGCAAATGCCATGATCACAGAGTAACGGAAGTCCTGCGGGTGGATATTATTGGTAGACTGGTAAATATCGATCTACCCTCCTTTGAGACCTCTTACGTTTAATAAACAGTGGTTGTATAGAAGAGAAGAGGAGGATGGAAATATTATATATTAAAGACTAGAGCCCAAAGGTTCTCGATTTTAGATTGCAAATTGATTTATTAGCGGAGGACAACATCTGGAACCATTTTGAACCTTTTTGAAAAATTGTTTCAGTGTCTATTAATTATTCAAGATGGACACACGCTATATATTATGTTTTGTATAACCCGAACAAAGTACGGGCGGGATAGCCATTTATATTTATGTCAGCCAGTACCTCCTATATTGCCTCGCAATATCTAAAATATGCGTCTGAGCTTAAATATCAAAACGTACCTATTTGTCATATCAGAATAAATCTATTTCAAAACATTTTGTAATTAGAAACCGTGTATTCTAATTTCTTTATTATTAAATAGAGTTTATATATTTATTTATATTAAAAAATAAATTGTACTTTTATTCAATAAAAATAAAAAAGCTATTTCTTTTTTTTCGATTTGAAAGTGCGATTTCCATTTTTAATAAATAGTCTTTTGTAAGGTTCTTCAACCATGGTGCTTATCATTATAATTTATTCTAATAACAATATATATTTCTAATATTTGATCAATTTTGCATTTATAATGCTATATTGAAAAATATTCGTAAAGAAAACTGGTTAAAAATCCACTTTGTCTCTGGCACTCTGAGATGGGACTCGAACTCACGACCTTTCGCAATCCGGGCGTCTGCTCTAACCACTGAATTACTCAGAATCTAACAGGACTGTCGAACTCTCTAGTACTTGTTACATTTCCATGATACACTTTCGACCAGGTACGGGTCCCGGTGACTGACAACGAATCCCAGAGAAATAGTAACGTGCTTAACTCGACCTCACCAACGATAATAGAAGGAAAGCTTATAATAACCAAATAAAAAAATACTAAATTTAGTTCTAAGAAAGTGCTATTGACTTTCAGTTTCAGAATCGTATTGTAGCTCTCTTGGTAAACGTCCTTTTTAGAAATAAAACAAAGGAACAAGTTTTATGAGAAAGGTCACATGGTCATATTCTAGCTGCATTATCAAATCAGCTCTATTTAATCAGTTGGTATTGTCTTCTAAGTTATATAAGCATGTAAAATTTTTCCAGAATCGAAAACGGAGAAGTAAGTAAAATCTTGCCATCTAAATTTGACACACTTACCATTATTAAAGTTAAAATATCTTTCTTCTATAAATTATTTTTGAATCATCCAACATTTCAATTTTCGATTGAATTGAAATTTCATAACATATAGCGCAAATGTCATCTAACACTAACAAATGCCATTAAAACCATCGTGACCATCCATGTCCTCCCTCACGTTACAAAAATGTATTATAGCATAATAACTTGGAAAACTCTGTTAAATTTGATGACGAAAAAATCGAATCATTAAATGTTATTATAATCTAAAACAAAATTTTCATTGAAAAAGTACAGAGAGAATTATCATATGAATAGAATGCTTTTCTATTCCTTAATGAATTCCTATTGAAAGTTAATTGAAATTTCGTGTTATATTGCTAATAATAATCAATTATAATTTAACTTTTATGAATTTTCATTTTTTCAAATAAGCAGGAATGAATAATGTTCGTGTTCGTGTAATAATATTGCTTTGCGTTTAGTTATATATATTAAATATACTTTAATTTAGATTATTGCTTAATTAGTATTTGAGATAATTTTACTCTTGCCCTTGCTAGTAAATCTATATTGTGGTTTTATATTTGATTTAATTTTCTTTATTATCAATAATTCAGTTGATTTGTTAATGCTTTTAGTAGGTCATTTACATTTACAGCATTATTTACATCTAAAACAATAATTAAATGAAGAAATGTTAATTCTCAATAATCTATATATATAAAAATGAATCGCAAAATGTGTTGGTAAGCGCATAACTCAACAACGCCTCGACCTATTTGGCCAAATCTTTTTTTAAAATGTTCGTTGAAGTTCAAGGATGGTTTTTACGGCGAGAAAAATTAGAATTATTGCTGGAAAAACCCTAAAAATAGCCCTTTTCTTTTTCCCATACAAATGATTTGTAACTAAAACGTAGTCAATTTGAGCTTTATTGTTATGGTATAAAGTTCATATTAAATTACAAGCACTCACTGTTGTCTAAGCAATGTAGGTGTGTTCCTAACGTCAAAGATCATATCTATCAAAACAATGTGCGTGTGTGCGTTGGAGCACAGAATACATAGTTGGAGGAGTTTAATGTCGCGTTCCGAAACTCGCGTTTCTTTTGTATTAGTTTCGGCACGCGAGATAAAATGCATCAGTTTCCACGTCATTACATGTATTGCCGGAACATTGATGAAAATACGCTCTGTAGTAGCAAAGCTGTTGGGTCCTAGATAGCTCATTGGTTAGAGCAGTCCCTGGATCGCGAATGGGTTCGAGTCCCATTCCGGGGTACAGGTAGATGGATTCTTCCAGCATTTTTCCTTGAGAATGTTTATATATTTTTTTAATTCGAATAGTTTACTTTTATAATGCTGTTGTGTGTAATGTGTTTTTATGATCATAAAAATCTCTTTTTTCTATATTTAATACTATTACTATTAATACATTGCAATAATAATTATGATTCACATGATTAACAATAAAGCGATTACTTACTTTTAAATCCTTATATATGTTTTATTTAATTATTTTTTATTCACAACGCCCTATCACCAGGGTTACGGTTCTGTTCAGGAGAATTTTTTTAAATACGTAGGCAAAAAAACTGCCACATTACAAATCTTTTTGACAGGACGAAGTCTGTCGGGTCAGCTAGTAATTTAATATATTACTTATCTCAATGCTACCATACTGATGAACCCGAGTCCTTGAACGTGGACGTGTTTTATGCCATGTGCCGTAATGAAGGAATGTTTAAATACCCACAATTTTTTTTTATTTAATTTTTGCTACCACATATATAATAACTGTTTAAGTTCACATTCTAGATGTTTTCTTTTTGTGGACCATTGTAATTGACCTAGATGTAGCAATTTTAAGTATTATTCACATTTATTATAAGAGGTTGTTATTATCCTAAATATAAATAAATAAATAAAAATAAATAAATAAATATTTACTATTCCGCGAATTGACACATATGTTATCTGTGTATCTTATCTTTAAAACACGTTTGTTAATTTCTGTAAGTGTATACATGTGTTGTCCATGGTCATTCTTGCAAATAAGATATAGGTTCCAAATAATTTCTAATTAGCTTTCGCCGTAGTAAAAAGCATAAGATTTATCAAATTCAGTTCACTAGTTTTGAAGACCATTAAAGTTTTAAATTATTTGCAATTACAGTACTATTTTAAAAAGAGAAAAAAAAATTGTTTACCAATAAATAAATATTACACAACATCGCTTACATTCCAAGATTAGGTAAAGCCCCACCCCTATTACGAAGTATTTTCGACAACTAAGGCACCACAACACCTAGACTTCAATATAGAACATACCATTTTATATGTAAAGCCGATCGGGCCTCGAATATGGGACATCAGAGACGGCGACATCTTGAAACCGGCGTGTGAGCCAGTCGGCTACGGAAGTCGTATTTGATATTTGCATACACTCCTAAATCCTTTCTGGAGTAGGTAACCGGAACCAAGAGCTAAAAAGCATAGCTTTCAATCGCGTCGTTCGCTTTCCGAATATTAACAATTCTTTTCACACAGACACAAGCTTATTTCGGTGTCTTGCGATTTCACTCTCCAATAAAATATGTACCTAATAATAAACAGGCATATAAAGGCCAACGTGCATATTGCCCGTACGCACGCACTAGTCACACTTAATGGAACAGTTTTCCATGTCTTTGTAAGAATTTGTATAGCACTCCGTCCGTTTATATAGCTATCCGCTCGGGTCGCACCGCCGCGCTACCGACACGTGATTAATAATGAGCAATGAAAATGTTAATAACCTGATACGGATTACTTCCATTGAGCTACTATACATTACTTCACAGTGATATGTGAAAACTGTCAATATAATTCAGATGTCGATACTGACAAATGGAGTTTGCATAGAAGTAAATACGAAAAATCCGGTGGCAGTGGATATATGACATCGGAAAATCCGTAATATTCGTTGCGTGTCGTACGGCGAGTTAGTAGGGAGACAGTCGACGACCACCATAACTTGACTTTCCTCTTTAGTTCATCCCGAAAAGTTTATTTATATGCCATATCAATTACCAAGCTGTTAAATTGCGGTTTAATTTATATTATTTCAAAATTGTCTCCGAAAGCTGACATAAAAATGATTTTCATGGTACGTGCAACGAAGTCGTCAGTTCGAGTCAGGTCTGGTCAGATGCCTGCGATAGATACTATAAATTTTTACAAGTTTGCTATAGAATGTCTACTTGAACAAATAATATCTTTATACATTTTATAGATAAATATACAAAATAAATTTAATGTTTATGTAACTTTAAAAACCCTATTAAATGTCAAATATCCTATTAATATTATAAATGTGAAAGTTTCTTTGTTTGGATGTTTAGATGTTTGGATGTTTGTCGATCAATCACGCCGAAACTACTGAACGGATTTTGATGAAATTTGTATACAGATAGGGTATTAGCTGACTTAGATAATAGGATACTTTTTATCCCACTTAACATTTCCTTAGGGTCCACGCGGGCGAAGCCGCTCGCGAAAGCTAGTATTTAATAATATCCTTTTGTAATTCACAATTAATTGCAGCCTAGTTTTAAACTACTTTTTTTACAGCATATTCGTTTTTTTCTCACGACTGCTGTAAAAACAACGGCTTTACAAAACCAAGATTCTGTTTTGCTATTATGTTAAAAATACAATTACATCAACGTCGAACACGGCGCACTGATAGAGGTTTTATCCGTTTTTTAACTTTTTAAACTTTTATTTGATTGGACCTCTAATATACTCGACGCCATATTTTTAATTGAATAACTGTTGACTGTGAAAAGTGAGTCTTGGGTCTACTTATGTAATCGTTCTATTTAGATTTTCACATTTATTTTGGTCATTTCGTTCTCATATTTTTTTGTTTGTTCTTCTTATCAGTTAAAAGGCGTTCCTACCAATCGAAAAAAAAATTGTACGATTTAAAAGTACTTTTAATAGGTTTATTTGTAGAAATACAGTTTTTACTTTGAAATATACTTTTCGTAGTTGAAAAAATTGCCCAAGTTTGAGTCGAACACGCGCACGAAGTTCTGTTTCGAACCTTTGAAAAACGCAAAAAAATACTTTTATGTTATATTTTTATTTTATTCTATTTTTGGAATAAAATATACATGTAACAGAAATAAATCAACTGTCTAGGTATCACGGTTCATAATATACAGCCTGGTGACAGATGGACAGACAATGGAGTTTTAGTGATAGGGTCCCGTTTTTATCCGTCGGGTATGGATCTCTAAAAAATAGTAAATAAATATTTGAATAAACTTACTTGCTATTGTTCGTACTGTTGACACGTACGTAGAAACGAGTATGACAAGAGGTAGAATGAACATAAACACTAGAGACAGTGTAGTGTAAGCTTGCTCTTGCCATCTCTCCGTATAAAAACCATGTGTCACGCACTGGTAAAACTCTTCGATGAATGGCCCCTTTGCCACGCCGAAGACCACCGCCTGTATAGACAAGAAACAGAAGATATGTTAAAGAAATACTTATTCATCGAGAATACACTATAGTTTTAAAGGATAAGGATAAGGGTTAATAGATTTATTATTCTTACTCGTATTTTGTAACTATTTCCGTCAATCCGTCTATTTTGAAATATTATTTTTGCAAAGTCCAACTGTGTTTAATGACGGGCAGATTATTTTAGGGTAATTAGAAATTACCTTTCTGGGATAATCTATTTAAATCTATATTAAAGCACAAAATCTAACCGTTCAAATTTAAATTTTATTTCAAATAAACCAGATTAATCCTAGTATAATTTTGGTGGTAAAGTTATCCTTTGACTGATATATTTGACAATTACTTTGATATTACCCGAAGAAATTTGATTGTGCCGTGTCATACAGACATAATATGAAAGAGGTAATATCGCGGTGAATAATACGCAGTTTGCTTGTAATATAGTAAACCCGCTTCAGGTTTATGTATCTGACGTCACACACTAAAATTTTATATAGATTATATGATGTCAAAAGAACGTTGGCATTAGTTATAATAACAGGAGAGATTAATATATTTGATCAATTTTGCATTTATAATGTTATACTGAAAAATAATCTTAATTAAAAATGCTTAACAACCTCAGAGTGCCAGGGACATTTTAAGGGATAGTGGATTTTTAAGCCTTTCTCGTTAAGAATATTTTAACAGGATAGTTGTTTTTAATAGCTACTTGAGCCTTCACTTGAGTTAGAAATCTACGTAAACCTTGGCATAGAAGGGGCGTTGTTTGAGATAAATAAATAAGACTGAGCAGGGGCGACACCCAAGTTACGCCATAAAACACTAACTCCATCCAGATATTGCTGGCCACTTTTCTAAGATCCTCAGTCTATTTACTTGTATCCTGTAGGACCTGTTTACTTTATTTCTCATAAATTCTGCGACAGATGTGGCTAGCCCACTGCCACCTCAGCTGACATGAGCCATTTGTGAATAATGTCTATCCCATTAGTTTTCTGCTGAATTTTGAAATTAGGGCATAATTTCAAAATTTATTTATTAGAGAGACTCCAATGGACCATGGCGATGGTGTAAACGTTGACTCTTTAATTTATTTGATTCTTACTCCTATAAACTATCATTTATTTATAATATAGTTTCTAATATAGAAAATATTATCAATATTTGATAAAGCGACTTGTTGGAAGAAAAAAATTATGACATATCACATTAGCAATAGGAAGGTTCTGAGTAAAAATCCCACATTAAATTTTGGATTAAAGGTTTAAGGTTTCAAATAAAAATCTATACCATTTCTGGGTTGTAAGTAATCTACTCCTCAAGACTTCTTTATCGAAAAAATTTTAAAGAGTTTTTAGGATAGTTTAAAAGTTATTTTAAGTATGCGTATAATGTAAGTTACTTAAATAGATAATTTGTCTAATTTAACGTTAAGTTTTACTGTTAAAACCCTTTTTTTAAATCTTTAATAATTCTAGTAACTTTTATCCAATTTCTAATGAGTTGTTCATTAGTCTGAATTCTGGGAGGGAAATTTCCAAGAAAACTTAGCTCATAAAAAGATGAAACACAAAATTTCGCCAAATATGAACAAGTCTTTAAAATCTTTTCAATAGTGCATATTTAATTATATAAATAAGAAACACTTCTTTGTGAGTTTCTTCACAAAAAAAGGTGTGAATAATGTTTTTCAACCAAGACCAGAAAAAAATTACACTATATTTATTGTTACAAAATATTCATACTAAATTAAAATGGAATTATGAAGCTTGGTTGCGAAACAGAATTTTTGGCCATGGCGTATTGCTAGTAACTAAAATCATTTTTAATTAAATATATTAATATTGTCAGTATATTGATGTCCCCAATACTAGGGCGCAAGCCTTCCTTATGGATCGAACAAATCAGAATAGGGAAATGGTCACTATCCACCACGTCAACCGTAGAGGCCCTTATTTTATACACTCTTTATATAACTTATACACTCTTTCGTACTACATATACAGTCATATAAAACAGTGAAGAATACTCAGAAAACGTTTAAAAAAGAGCAAAAGATAGTTGGTCACCTCAAAAGTCTAGTCAAAAGACTGAAATCATAGCAAAAACACCCTTGAAATACTGTGGAAGACTTCGTCGTTTATTCTTCACAATCTTATTTCTAGTCAGTGAAGTATAAGTTAGACAAAGAAATAAAAAAGTTTGGATCGCTGAGGGCCAAGACTAATCACAACTAAATTTAACCTCTCGTGCGTTTCAAGCATTCACATTCGGTCTGCGTCACCGCAAACGCTAGATTTTTATTCCTCTAAAATTTATGTCGAGGTCTTCAGTACTTCGGAAACTATTGCTCCCGGCTGTATTTGCAGTCGTTAAAACCAATTCACGCTGAGCCCGCAGGGTGAGTCATGGGATAACTTGTCTATTCCGATTCAATTCGGTGAAACTCTGTATCCCAGCTGTGGGGACAATAAGCTGATGATGATTTCAAGCCAAGAATATAATTTAAAAAAATATATAAACACAAAGGTTCTATCAAATTTATAATGTATAAGTCAACCTGTTCAAAATTTAGTCTGATGGTGAGCTATGAATCACTCTGTGTTTATTTCCAATGCAATAGACTGAGCTCCAATAACGTATATTAATAGGCTAGTGATAGTAAATTGGTATCTACATATAATCTGTTTTACTTGATAATAAGAAAAGTAAAGGTTTTCGAAGCGAAAATAATGATCCAATATTATTTTCGTCTCGGAGAATCTTTTCATGTAAACAACAAAAATGTGAATTGATCTTTATTTAATACACGTACACACACCAATAAACAAAAATGTCATAAAACTTTCATATCTCTATTCTGGGGATTAAGGCTTAATATTCTTTATATAGAAACTAACTCAAAAAGAAAAGCTCAAAATTTTCCCAAGCTCAAAATTTACTATTATGAAATGCTAACATTAAACAACGACTTTAAATGTTCCACTTATCCTTCTAAATATTCAAACACTTGAGTACTATAAAACATTTGAGTTCTTATAACTTGATCACTGCTTTTTACTGCAAAGAGCTTTTGGCGAGAATTTAACACGTTGTTCAAATATCTAGAATATTACTGTTTACGGTTAGGAGATTGAAATTGTTAATTTAAAATAATATATCGTTAGAAAAACTTTATTATATAATTAGTATTCCACCCTCATTCCCAAAAAACATGGCTCTTTCCAAATACACGAGGAAAAATTCCAAGCATATCATAAAAACAGACCGCAATCAAAAACTTTTGACAGTTCGATTCGAAACGAAGACGCGTCAAAAAGTCTGCAATAAATAATTGTGATATTAAAGTTTCTACAATGTTAAACATAAAATTATTTAAGATAAACATCGTACTTACATTTTTACATTAAATATGCAAAATTGCTTTTGATATAATAAATGGCATTTAAATGTCTTTTGAAGGAAAACAATATTAATGACTTTTATGAAGTGGCGTAGAGTAATCACAGAATTCTGGCAAGATAAATCCAATTCTTAGTTAAACGATATTGCTCACCATTAATGTATGTATATTTCCACGTCCTGATGACAAAATATTTTGGTCTTCTGATAAAGTAAATACCTAGACGATATTTTTGTAAATGAAGATTAATTTCATATATATATATACTTTATCTTTCTTGTTTATTATATTGAATAAACAAAAAGATAAAAGAATAGAAAAAATAAATGTTTTTATATTCATCTACCTTTTTGTTTAATTTTTTTTTACCTTCACTGCTATGAAGTTTTTTTTTTTATTAAACTTATATGCTATGATAGCTCTGCGTTCGATGTCGAGTTTGTATGACAGAATAATACTGCAGGAATTATATTTATTTAATTACTCGAGCACCATTAAAAACGTTTTCGAATTAGGATTGTATAATTGCTTAACATCAGGCCTCAGTTACAAAGTAACTCGTAAAAAATAATAAGAAGAAATTTAATGTTAAAGTTTATGATATTGTAATTTTGGCTTAATTCCTTTACATAATCTTATTAATCAAGTTTGATAACTTTTCATCATTGTATTTGATGTTAAAATTGTATATTTATAATTCATATTTGGTTTTATTGTAGCTAATTAAATATTATATATATATATTATGACAGTACTTAAAACGTAACTAGTCTACTATATTCTTAATTAAAATCCTTAAAAACTTCCAGTTAGTCCCTGGCATTCTGAGATGGGGCAACGTGGATTTATTAGGCATTTTTATTAAGAATATTTTTGCAAAAATAATAAAATATATAGTCTGCTATATTATGTGGGCCGCCATATTGATTTTCGGATAAAATTAATTCAATATATTATATTATATACTGGATAAGCGCCGCGGCCCGCGATCGTAGTCGTTAAGCAACTTTCGCTAGGGTCGGTCACGGGATGGGTGACCAAAAAATTATTATCTCGAGCTACTCTGTGCTTCGGAAGGCACGTTAAGCTTGTGACGGGTTCGGTGCTTGGGTCAATTAAAAAGGCTGATTAGCTTAAGTATAGATTTATTAATTATATAAGGGTATATAAGAAACTGTAACAAACAAAAATTAAATTTATAAAACAGTTCGTAAGTTACTTAACTATAAATTTTAAATTATCAAATAAACGAATACATACAAATTATCAAATAAACGAATACATACCCCTTGTCGGGCTTCTAGTTAAACTCTTGAATCGTCCAAAATACAGATTACAATTTAGTTCATATGTTATATAATTTGTATCACAATATCACATTCTTTATCACTATCAATAAATTATTTTAAAATTATATAATAAAAATTAATACCATTAATACTGTATATTAATTTTCATCCATAAAGAGTATAATTGATTAGTCAAAATTTTAAATTACGAAAAACGAATAATAAAATGAAATGATGTTGAATTTCAAAAACAAAAAGTTTGCATACTGAAATCTAGGAAAACAAACGG